TTTTACTTGATGGTTAGTATAAATTGCTAATTAAACATTTTTTTTTTGGTGGCATATATTTATGTTTGGACTTTCTAAATGATAATAATAAGTTTAATTTCAACACTATAAAATTGAAGTCAGTTGGGGAAGAGAAGAGTTCAAATTTGGACAATTGTTGTGTTTCCATTTTAATACTCTTTATGTTGCTAGGTCTGATTTTAATTTTACATTTTAATGTGATTGTTAAAATGCATCATCGAATAGCCATAATTATATAACCAAACATTTTTAGGTTGAAGTACAACAGTTATGGATAATATCACTATTTTTGGTCAAGTTTGTTTGTTTGTTTTTTTTTCCATATAAATTTAAGTACCTCTCTTATAATGTAAGGCCTATTTATTTGTTTATTTTAAACTTATCATATTTAATTTTCTTCTAATAAATATTTTTTTCCTCATACTTTATAGGTGGATGAAGACTTACACCGAATGGTAATATCAAGAAAAAAATGATTTTTTTTTTCTTATTTATGTGTACAAAGTTTTATTTATCACTTTAAAATTTTTGTATATATAGATTCAATTTCTTTAAGAAAGAAATGTTAATGTTGTTGTTCGTGATGAGCATGACCTTAATACTATTTGCATTCGTGAGGTAAGCCTACGAGTAACTTATATTCGCATGCATTTTCTTATCATTTTAAAAATATATTTATAAATATATTTTACTTATTTTTTATGGACAAAAGCAAAGGAAAAACACAAAGCAATATCAAAGGAGACAGAAAAGGCTATCCTTTCTAGCAAAGGAAAGGAACATGCAAATCCTGTGATATGGTTTCTCAACATTTTTAAAAAGTTTGTTTTTCGAATATTTATTAAATTTTTGTTTTTATATAGATTTTTGTAAGAATTGCATAGTGCCATATACTCTTTTTTATGTATATTTTTATGAGTTATTGTTTTTTAAATATTTATTCAATTGTTTTGATTGATTATAAAATATTTTTCTAAACCATGTTAAAGTAAGCATTTGTACAAAATATTAATATATTTGTTTGAACATTAATTTGAACACATGTTGCATTTACAACATATCGTAATAAACATATAAGAGAAGAAAATGAAAAATGAAATGAAGTTTTTAATTATAGAATATAGTTTTTTTAAAATTTTTATTTTACTTATTAGTTCTTAAGGAAAGAAGAAAAAGACAACAATGAATTTTAATATAACGGAAAGAATAGGGAGAGTGAAGAGGGAAGCGGAAAGTAGAAAACATTACACGTTATTATTCACGTTGTACGTACTTAATTATCTAATATTAATCTTTTCAACGCATATTTTGTAAAGACATGGGTAGTGTCTTTTTGGCTCAAAATGCATATTGAGTTTGCAGTTTTGTGTGCTTAATGTGTTTTCAAATTGTTTTTAAATTGCAGAGCAGTGTCTGGTGTGCATTATTTGATATTTAATTTTTTTATATATTTGATTTGTTTGGAATTGTAAAGTATAGTCTGTTATGTATTGTTTGATATTTAATTTTCAATTTAATTTGTTGAGATTGTAGAACACTTACTGATGTGCTTTAGTATATAGATTTAGTATTTTTTTTTCTTTTTATTATAGATTTAATATACAATAACTTTGGTTTTTGTTTTTTTGTTCAGTGTTTACAATTTTTTTTTTTACTTAGTCTGATATTTTGATTTGCAATATTGGTGAACATTATAAATCTTATATGTTTATTTCTTAATTTTCATTAACATTAGAGAGAGTTGTTATTTTATTTGAGTTTTGTAGAACATGTAATACAAGCAAAAATGTTACAAGTTCTTTAAGATTTTTTTTTAAAATATATTTTTATAACTGCATTTTAATTTTAATATTATTTACACCGTGCCTAAAGGCACGGACATATGTTAGTATATATATATGACATAAATTTAAATTTGATGTATGGATAAAACTTAGGAAGAATTTAATTCACACATTTAATTTTTTAATAATTTTTTTACTATATGACATTCTTGTTAAGTATTTATGATCGTGTACTTATCAAAGTGGATGACAATGCTACGACTCAATGGAATTAAAGATAAAGATGTCCTCTATGGAATCCGGATCACTCGTCGCCTTCCCCTGTCGCCCCCAAAACGACGTCGTTTTGGGGGCAAATTTTCAACAAAAAAAAAACGCAGAGAAGAGGGAGGAAGGAGAGGAAGAGGGAGAGGGAGGGAGGAGGGAGGGAGGAAGGAGGGAGGAGGAGGAGGAGGAGGCTGCGAGCTCGCCGTCCTCGTCCCTCGCCGCCGTCGCAGCCGCCGTTGCAGCCGTCGCAGCAGCTCCACCTCGTCGCAGCACCTGCGACCGCCGTCACCTCCGCCTCCGACCCGTCTCCACCTCCTCCTCCTCCTCCTCCTCCCCTGTATTTATGGCCCCCTCCAGTCCGGCCCTCCTCCTCCTCCTCTTCATCCCTCCATCTTCCTCTCCTTCCTCTCTCTTCTGCGTTTTTTTTTTTTGAAAATTCCCCCCCAAACCCTCCTCCTCCTCCTCCTCCCTCCTCCCTCCCTCTTCCTCTCCTTCCTCCCTCTTCTGCGTTTTTCTTTTTTGAAAATTCGCCCCCAAAACGACGTCGTTTTGGGGGCGACAGGAAAGGGCGACCGACGATCCATTCCCGTCCTCTATGTGCGTAAATACGATGGAAACAACAAATATGTTTGTGACATTAATAACACCTTGAATGAAAATTAAGTTTTCAATTTTTTTATTGTTATTATGTATGTTTTTGTTTTTGTGTTTTCAAAAACTTTAAAACACCATTTTGTATTGTTTTCATTTTGTGTGAAACAAATGCTTTCTGAAAAATGAGGTGTTTAAAAAAAAAAAAAAAAAAAAATTTAAAAATTGCTCATCAAAGCAAAACACAACCAAGCATATCTAGCTTTCAAACTACAAAGTTGTAGTTTCGCAAAAAAAATAAAAAAATAATAATAATTAACTTTTTGGAGTTAAGAATTTTTTTAACTTGAGATTAAAAAGTTCATTTGAGTTGACTATTTTGATTTTTGATAGAGAAAAAGTGAAATAATTATAATTTAAAAACAAAGAATCAATCATAGAGCCAGGGCCAACTTTGACATTTTGGGGGCTCAAAGCGAACTGTACATTAAAAAAGACAAAAAAAAAAAAAAAAAATGTGATCAAAAGATTATGTATTTACATTTTGATCAGACATATAATTATTAAACTTTATTTAAATATATAAAAAAAAGTTTACAATAAATAAGAAAAATTAAAATAATTCAAGTTGAAGTAGTAAATGAAAAGTGAACAAACTGTATACTTAAACATCACCCTTTTTGTATTTTTAATTACAAAAGTACTAATCAAACTTGCATAATTCAACTTATTAACTAATATTATTAATTGATTAAATTGCTAATACATTTAATTTTTCTTGTGATATAGTTGACCGAGGTAAAATTCAATCAATTTTAATAAATTTAAGAAGTTTATTTCTCCAGAAACAAATGTAATTGATATAATTAATTGTGTTCTATATGCAATACAGGCACTTGAAAAACAACCATTCATTAATTTAAAATCATTCACCATATCAATCAACTTTTTGATTTTTGCCAACAAAAACATTCATCCATTTGTTTTAAATAATTCACCAAATCAACCAACTATTAATTTTAAATTTTCACCAAATTTTATTAGGACTTTCCAAATTCAAGTGGATTTTTTTTTTTTTTTTTTGGTGGACTAATATAATAGCTATGGAAAAATTGGGACTTTTTTTGGCTCAATTTTTGGGGGAGAAAGGCAGCTTTGCCAACTTTGAGCCAAACCCGCCCTGCTTAGAATCAACCACATAAAATGTAGATAGATCAATTTGAATAAAAATATATGATGTGTAATTTATACACAAAAATAGTAGACAAATAGTGTGTAATTTAGATTCATTTTGAGTATATATCTCACCATAAAAGAATTAAATTTAAACCATACGTTATTTTTCTTCATAAATATATATATTTTTTGGGTCTAAATTCTCAATCTTTAAAATTATTGATGATGCATGATCAAACATATAGTCGATTCAATATAATTGGTTATGTGTGGGTATAGTTGTGACTGCTACAAGACATGCAGTGCAAAATTATGGGGTCATTGTCCTTTGTTTTTATTATTAATGCAAACATGTGCTGAATTATATAAATTAATGTACCTTATCATCATATCTACGAAATACACATCATAGAGAATATACCTCAAAATGAAAAATAGTAATATTGTAAATTCAGATTTAATTATTTAGAATTATCATTTTATAATTCAAGTTTGTTCTGCATATCAACCCCAAACTGTATAAATTAAATCTCAATCACACTATTTTCATTCGAGATACTTAAGTGAAATTTATAGCATTTTTCAACCAAGAAAGGGTCTACTAACTCACCCACTGATTATTTAAAATTTTGCATTTATCATCCAAATTATTTTATTTTATTACTGTATATTGATTTTTATACAATAAAAATCATATAATATATATATACACACACAAACAAGATCATGAATAATAAAATTTAGAAATAAAAAAATCTGATAAGATATTTTATAGAGAGATTGTTCGGTACAATTTGTCTAATTTTCTTGTAGTTTTGTTTTGTTTTGTTTTTTTTTTTTTAAATAGACTGTCCCTGATCTATGATCTATATATATATATAAAATTATTTTTAAAATTATATTTATCATTACAATAAATATTTTAAATTATCAAAACAAACGAGTAAACATGAAAGGAGAAAAGACAGATTTTTATTTACTTTTAATCTTGAATGAAGCAAAACGTTGATGGGGCCTATCCCCAGCTCAAAGTTGCTCACTCCCACCTCCTCAAATTCTAAGCTTCAACTCATCCAATCACGAAAGGTATATAAACATTTATATGTATCTCTCACAAAAACCTTGATAGAGCAGGACCCAGATTGATGAACACCAAGAAAAGAAAGACCAAAAAATAAAGGCACCCAAAAAGTTGGAATTTATTCCCAACCCACCTCAAAACCAAATCTAAACACCTCCAAAAAGGAACAATAATAATCAACCATCAATCATCTCTGAATGAGGGCTAGGAATCTTCTCCTTCTTTTTCCCTCTCATGGCATGCTTTCAAGGGAAGCATTGCATCCCCAAAACCACACTAGGTGTCGTCGCTGTCGAAGCTATCATTTTCAATGATTACTGTTCACCACTCTTTACACGCACTGTTTTCTACAAAAGGAATGGTCTTTTCCATTTGATTCACCTTTCAAAATCCCCAATGGAATCCTTTTCTTCTTCTTTCTTTCTCTTCCTTTTTTTGCTTGCCTTTCCTAACGGTATGAACTTTTACTTCCCTCTTTTTAATTTTTCTTGAATGTTATTGAATTTTGAATAATGGGTTAGATTCAATTGACTAAGATTTTGAGTTTTGTTATAGTTATTATTGGCCTAGTGTTCTTGCTACCATGATTATAAACTAGAGAAATATCAATAAATATTTGAAGTTATACAAATAATGGGTATTCTACTCTGGTTTCAAATAATATGTAAAATTATTTTATGTGGATAGTTTAGTTGTGTATATATATTTGAAGTCAAACTTGGCCTGCTGCATTTATTCATTTTTGCAACATAATTTTGAACAGTATGAACTTTTACTTCCCTTTTTTATTTTTATTTTATTTTTCTTGAATGTTATTGAATTAAATGTGCAATGGGTTAATGTAGAAATTATGAATCATTTCATCTTGACTTTAATTGACTAAGGTCATGAGCATTATTAAAGTTATTAGCAGAGTGTTCTTGCTGCCATGATTGAACTAGAGAAATTTTTTGAGTTTGAGTTGAAGAAACTGGAATCTTCTGATCAATGATTGAACTAGTTGATATAAAAAAAAAAAAAAGTAAGAGTTTGAGTGTTGATATTTTATTGGAACACAAATAAAGGGTGTTCTAGCATTCTATTCTGTTTGATAGAGAGCACTAAATCAGTACCAAAAAAAAAAAAATTGTTACCTAGTTTTTGAAATAGTATGCAAAATTATTTTATCTGGAGCAGTTGTATGTATATATATATTTAAACTTGGTTTGTTGCATTTAGAATCTAAACTTCTCTTCTTCTTTTTTTTGTTCCTTTTCTTTATTCCTCATGATTTTTGGAATTAAAATTTGCGATGTTGTGGCTGATATTCTGCTTGAAAATTTGGAACAGTGATTGCGTTCACAGGGACGTATGGAGTAAATTATGGCAGGATAGCAGACGATCTCCCAAAACCTGGGACTGTAGTGTTGCTTCTCAAAGCAAACAAGATTAAGAACATCAGAATCTATGATGCTGATCATGAAGTTCTCAAAGCCTTTAAAGGGTCTGGAATTGAAATAGTGGTTGGCCTTGGGAATGAGTATTTGAAGGACATTAGTGTGAGCAAGGATCATGCGATGGATTGGGTGAAAGAAAATGTGCAGGCATTCCTCCCTGGAACTCGCATTCGTGGAATCGCTGTGGGAAATGAGATCTTGGGCAGCACTGATCAAGAACTCTGGGAGGTCTTGTTGCCCGCGGTGAAAAATGTCTATGATGCCCTTGACGGGCTTGACCTGACTAAGGTAGTCGAGGTTTCATCACCCCATTCTGAGGCTGTATTTGCCAATTCCTACCCTCCATCAGCATGCACCTTCAAGGACACGATTCTTCCATACATGAAACCGCTTCTGCAGTTCTTCTCACATATTGGTTCTCCTTTCTATATAAATGCTTACCCATTTCTCGCCTACATGAGTGATCCCGAGCATATTGACATCAACTATGCTCTTTTCCAAAAGAATGCTGGGATCTATGATGCGAAGACTAAATTGCGTTATGACAACATGTTTGATGCACAGGTTGATGCGGCTTATGCTGCTTTGGAAAAGGCGGGGTTTGAGAAGACACAGGTTATTGTTTCAGAAACCGGTTGGGCTTCTCGTGGGGATGAAAATGAAGCAGGGGCCTCATTAAGAAATGCAAGGACTTACAACTATAATTTGCGTAAGAGGCTATTGAAGAAAAAGGGGACGCCTTATAGGCCAAAGATTGCTGTGCGGGGATATGTTTTCGCCTTGTTTAATGAGAATTTGAAGCCCGGACCAACCTCTGAGAGAAATTTTGGACTGTTTAAACCTGATGGGAGCATTGCTTATGATATTGGGTTTGATGGGCTTGAACCTTCTTCAGCATCATCATCTCTTCTCTCCTTAAAGGTATGAATTTGCAAACACCTCTTTTTTATTTTTTATTTTATTTTTGCTTAATAGCCGACCCCATTTGATGGGACTTTAAGGTTTGGTTTGGTTTGGTTTATTTTATTTCTGCTTAATGTTAGTTACACAAATACGGTTTTTCCATTTCATGGCTATTTGATCATTTTTTGGCACTTGAACTATTCCTTCCTAGAAATACTTCTGTCATTTCATTATTGAGTTTTGCTGCTTGAGATAAATGCTTTTGGAAGCACCTTCTTCGAGAAATATCCATAATATCAATGATCAACACGAGTTAGACATTTGCATAAATTTCATATAGAGATCACACAGGGTTGTGCCGCATTTTGTTGCCAAAGGACTAATGTGTTTTAGGATTTTTTTAATTTTTTTTATATATCATACTTTGTGTAACTAGTGGTCACACCTTGCTTATATTCCTAATTATATGGATCATCAATTCTTGTTTCTGATCATCGATTCAAGCCTTGAACATTTTACTTTTAATGCAACTTTAGATGAAACGATAATTTTTTTGGAACATGGTTTTCTGTTCCTCTTGCATTTCTTGCATAGAATGATCCATTCTAGCAAAAATGCATAGCCCTAATGTCACATTCAAGAAGTTAGGGCTTTGAGATATGATACCTGATATTCATACTTACCATGATAACGGTACATGCATCCACAAACCCATTTGGCAAGCTCACTTCAAGAGGAAAAAGTAGTAAAAAGGTTAAGGAAATTCCACACAACCAAACAAATGTTTATAGTATAAAAAAGCAAAGATTAATTGGAGAATTGGTAGTCCTACCACCTCCTCAAAGTGCTATATGTCTGTATACTGTGCTCCATTTTGATATAACTCTTCCAAAACCGATTACTAGTATAACCCTTCAGACAATTCAAGGTTATTTATTGGCACAAGTTAAATCAACTAAATAATTTCTTTTGGAAATATGGATGTTAAATGATTGCTTTTGTGTTCGTTAATTTCTCTGTGCTATGCTCTTCATTTCCTAAATAATTGTTCTGATACAAACATTGGATTTCAATCTGTTTTTCTTGGTTTCTTGATTATGATGTTCATCGGATGACATAGTACCCAACCCTTGGGTGTTTATATGTGGGAATACAATATTAGACAAATAGGATAATTTTTCTCTGGTTTTTGTTTTATATGTTTTTATTCATTGTTTTATATGTTTTTTATTCCTAATGTTCAAACTTTTCAGGACATTGGATTTATAGGTTGGTTCAGGTCAGCGAACTCACTAGTTTACACGACTTCTGCATTGGTTCTGCTTCTGATTTTGATGCAATGACCGATTGAAACACTCCAATCTCTCATTCCCTCATCGCATTTGATGTTACCTAATTTCTCGAGGCATTTGACCTTCTTCACTATGTACAAATTGTTGCATTGTTACTTCTTATTTGATTCATTGTATTTTCTTGTACTTAACAAACTGACACTCTTGTAATGCTTGATGGCTGAAAATTCTTGATTATCTTTTTGAATATAATTCAGAATTTTTTATGCAATCTTCTTTGGAGGAAACCTTGTATGTCACTTAAAATTGGGTTTCACATGGCTCGTCCAAATATATAATGACCAATTTTTTCACTCTTCTTGGTCGAGAGCTCTGCGAAGTTATAAAAAATGGTGTTTCTTTCTGCAGGATGTAGGTTCTCTTTCTCTTTAACTCTTAATAGGCTCCACAATCACTCCCACAATCCGAAAAACTTAGGCTATGTTTGGAAGGATTTTCAAATCACAATTCTACCCACACATTCTAATATCATGTTTGGATAGAGTTTTCCAACTATATTTCCAAAACAAACACAAAACTCTGTAGAAAACTGTGTAAAGCGCAATTTTTGAATTTTTTTTTTTGAAATTTGGCCTCACCAGTCGTCCCACCAGTTGACCGGAACAGTGCAATTTTTTTTTTTATTGCAATTGACATATGTTAATTTTTATATATTCGAAAAAAATATATTCCGAATTTTTAAAATTTTTTTATGTGCTTTAATAGAATTTTGAGTTGTATGTTTGGTTATGAATTGTAAGTTTTGTATAAAATATCATATGTCACATCAAAAATTCTCCACTCAATTCAAAACTCTTTCACCAAACAAATTTTCCACACTCAAATCATAATTCCAAAACTCACAAACTCAAAATACAACTCCTACTCTCAAATTATATTTAGGAAGCTTTACCAAACACAACCTTAAAATTCTATTATTAATATAATTAATTATATTTAATGACTAATATATATAATTCCTACAGTCAGATTAATTCGTACTGCAATATAATCAATTTTATTGTTTTATATACATAAATTAATTTTCTTATTATGATGTATATTTGTGGTGATTTGAGATATATATATTTTTGTTTTTATTAAATGCAATATATTATTTAGGACATCTCATGCTCAACTTAATTATCTTTATTTTTATATTTTGTGTTGAAATCAAGCTTAACTAACTAGAACTCTTTGAAATAAACTAAGACCTTTAAAAAAAAAAAAAAAAGAAGCTATTATGTGCATTTTTTTTTTATTTTTTATTTTTATTTTTTGGGTGAAAAAGTTTCACAAAGAAAACAAAGACAAACTATTATTATGTTTATCTCTAAAAAGTGTATATCGTATATATTTTATAATTTGTTCACAAAATTTTATGACAAACCATAAAAATATTATAACTTCTCTGATCACAAAATGTTTATTTTTCTCATCACAAAATGTAACTTCACAATTCATAATTTTAGGGTATACATTATAAATTTATTATTCATAATTTTATCATACACCACAATTTGCATAACTTTCAGCACAAAAAATCATAATTTTCTTACTATGTTCACCTTTTAGAAATGCACGTTGTATATTTTTCTTAAGACTATGTTTGAATGACAATAATATTGAAAGAAATGAAAATGTAATTCCGGGTGCTATGATTCCAATGTTTGGAATGAATTGGAATATATAGAAAATGATTCTTAAATATCTATTTCAGTACTAATCACATTCTAAAACTAAGTAGAAATTCGACTCTTCCACTCCTCCATAGGAATATCACATTCCTAGAGGAATATTAACTATTTAATAGTTCCACAATATTTAACTTTTACTATTTTCCCTGTCAATAATTACTAACAAAATCAAATGCTTGAATAGTATTGATATATGAATCTCATTACTAATAATATGTGTATTTGGTTCAAAATTTTTATCATTCAAACATAATTGGAATAGGAACAAACTTTCATCAGTGTTTTTTGTTTTTTGTGTTTGTTGGTCTCTCACCAACTAAGAGGTTGGAGCTTCATCTAGTTCCTACCTCCTCTTTATTGATGTTTTCCATTGTACCTTGTACGTGCTTCATCAATAAAGTCTTCTTTGCCGATCAAAAAACTGGAATAGGAACAAACTTTCAACCTATTAAATCTACCCAAATTACAATCTTGTCCAATTTCTACTCGTTTTTGCACTATTTCTACAATGCGTTTTTTAGAGAAAATTGATGGGTGGATGCATTGTGTTCACTTTGAGTAGACAAGTCGATCAAAAAATTATAGATGACATTTTCCACAATGAATCATTTTTTGTGGTTAGAATTACAAGTAAAGGCCAATTTTTTCATGGAAGGTTGTTTTAAAAGATCTTTTTATAAAATGTGTGGTCTCTCCCTCATTATTGGGGTGATTATATTTGTACTGAAATAGTAACTCAGTACGCTTAGATAAAATTTTGAAATTTTAATTTTTATTAATAAAGACATTACATATTAAATCTTAAAATAAAATATTATTTTTTTTCTAATGGTACACTTTTATTAGTTATACGTATTTTTCATATTCAAGTCTCTTCACCTTTTTTTTCCAAGTTTTAATTATTTTTTCTTCATCTTCTTCCTCACTTTGAAACCACAATTCACCCCATCAAAATTTACCATTATCATTAATATCATTGTTTCTTATTGTATTGTTACTTGTAAATAAAAAAAAATTAAACAAAATTACATAATAAATAAAAATAATAAGTAAAAGCATTTTTTAAAAAAATCCATCAAAAGGGACTTGAACTTCAAAAGAAATCGGGTAAATGAGGACCGACAGGAGTTCGATTGAATCAAGCCCTTCAATCATCACCTTATGAGAGATCCAACATTTTCACATGCTACGCCAACACCAACAGAGAAAAGAATTTATAATGGAAAAATGACTCGTAGCTCGAATTCGGTGGCCCGAATTCGGCTTAAAACTCAAAACGACGTCGTTTTGGATTTCGATTTTTTTTTCCTGCATTTTCTTTATTTCTTTTCTTCTTCTTCGTTGAACGCAGGAGAAGTGCAGAGGCGAGAGAGAAACAGAGTCGTCGTTGTCGTCGTCGCAGCTCATCGGCGTCGCAGCTCGTCGCTTGTCGGCCGATCGTCACATCGCAGCCCCGCCTCCGCCTCCGCATCCACCCTATTTTGTTGCCCCCTCCAGTCCACTTCTTCTTCTTCTTCCTTCTCTTCTTCTTCCTCCTTCTCTTCTTCTTCTTCTCCGAATTCGAGCCAAATTCGAGCTACGAATCGGAACCGCTTTTAATGTCTATTTTGTGTGAGAGATCCCACATTTTCACATGGTTGTCTTTGGGCCAACGCCAACAGCAACAGACGAGAGAATTTTCAATCTCTATTTTCTTGTTATGGAAATCAATCTTTCATATCGATTTTGTTTATTATTTAGATGTATCACAAATTATAATTTTGTGTTGTAATAAGAAATGAGAAAATAATATTTCATTCACCACACTTGACATTTAGGCATACACCTATTTATAGTTCATACAAGAGAGTTGGTTAAGAGTTTGTTACAACAAATTCTAACTAACTGAACAAACTCTAAACTAACAGATACTAACTGAACCTACACGAACTACTACAACTGATGCTGCATATTCTGTTGATGCATATGCATATGCATATTCTGTTGCTGCATACCCTGGTTCTTATCAGTCCCCCTCAAGATGATAGGGCTAGGAAGCACCAGAAGCTTGGATTTAAGATAGAGAAACCGAGGAGAAGAAAGGGGCTTAGTAAAGATATCAGCAATCTGATCATCAGTAGCAATATAAGCCAAAGAAATTTGTTTAGAGACCACTTTTTCCCGAATGAAATGACAGTCCACCTCTATGTGTTTAGATTTAGAATGGAACACGGGATTGGAGGCTAAGGCCATAGCAGAAACATTGTCACACCATAACACAGGTACAGTAGAAGCAGGAACATATAACTCTTTGAGCAATTGTTGAAGCCAACAAATTTCTGCGGTAGTGTGAGCCATAGACCTATATTCAGCCTCTGTGGAAGATCTTGACACTGTGGGTTGTTTTTTAGAGGACCAAGAGATAAGATTGGAGCCAAGATAAATACAAAATCCAAAAGTAGAGCGTCTATCAGTACAATCCCCGGCCCAATTGGAATCAGTAAAGGCATGAAGATCATAAGACCCTTTTTTGAAAGTAAGACCATGAGAAACATATCTGAGCAGACGTTTAATGAGAGCAAAGTGAGCATTAGTTGGGGCTTGCATATGCTGACACGCTTGATTGACAACAAAGGCAATGTCAGGGCGTGTGATGGTTAAGTATTGTAAAGCACCAACGATGCTTCTGTAAAAGGAAGGCTGAGCATAGGGAAGCACATCAGTGGAGGAAGGACCAGCAAAAGACTTCGGAGCAATAGGTGTGGAGCATGATTTACAATGAAGCATACCAGCTTTATGGAGCAGTTCTTGTGCATATTTGTGCTGAGATAAAAAATAACCAGTGGAAAGAGCTTGAACAGAGATGCCTAAAAAATATGAGACATCTCCTAGTTCCTTCATGGAAAAGGCCACATGCATCTGAGCAAGTAATGCTTGAATCAAACTAGGATCACTTCCAGTTAGCAGAATGTCATCAACATAAATGAGCAAAATAGTGATACTAGTAGAGGTCTTTTTTACAAAGAGAGAAGGATCAGAATAACTATGATAGAAACCTTGAGTAAGTAAGAAAGACGAGAAGGTGGAGTACCAAGCTCGAGGAGCTTGCTTGAGGCCATATAAAGCTTTGTGCAATTTGCACACATGATGAGGAAAGGTGGAATCAACAAAACCTTGAGGCTGTAACATATATACCTCTTCATCCAACTTACCATGTAAGAAAGCATTGGAGATGTCTAACTGCTTGAGAGGCCATTGATTTTGAAGTGCAAGACACAAGAGAATCCTAATAGTAGGTTGCTTTGCAACAGGACTAAATGTTTCATCATAATCGATTCTTTCTTGTTGCAAGTATCCCGTTGCAACTAAGCGAGCCTTGTAACGAGCAATGGTACCATCTGAATTTTTTTTAAGACGAAACACCCACTTGCAGCCAATTGCAGATTTGGTAGAAGAATGAGGAACAAGGGTCCAAGTACCTTGTTTATGGAGAGCTTGAAACTCCTCATTCATAGCATTAAGCCAGATAGGAGAAGTTAAAGCTTGAGAAGCATTTTGAGGCTCAGTACAAGTAAGATCAACTGGAGGAGTGTGAGTAAGATGACAAGAAGGAGCTGCAAGGTGCTAAGAAAGAGAAGAAGCTTTGGACCGAGTAGTCATAGGGTGAGTATTACAAGAAGTAGAGT